AAAAAAACTATTCCATTTATTCATTAATAGTTGTATGGATGATGTTTCTGCTGTTGGACACTTAGATTTAGTATCTATCTATCAGTCTATCTCAGCCTATTTTTTAATGAGGGAACAATGTTGCAACATGGTTAAAAGCATTCATTGATTCGATTTTGCACATTTGCATATGTTCTCGTTTACAGGTACATTAGGATTCTTAGGGTTATTTTTACACACGGATTTACACAATCTCTAAGTAAACAAGTGACACAACAATCGTACTTTGCAGGTCTGGGAACTCATGTATAAAGGGTTGCTTTAATACCAGGTGAACGCTGTGATACTTTGGTTGTGATTGATAAAAAAGACAACTTGACTTTGAAATCAGTGCTTTTGGTCAAATAACTCAAAATTGTGTAATGTAACATTCAGATATTGGGTACAAGGTGTTCCATGCCCAGAAAGATCCGAGTAAAGACACTTCTGGAGAGTTTACAAATTCTGCAGAACGTTTTACAAATGAGGCCGCAGATCTGTGGAGAGGCCAGCCCTGTCGCATCACAAATACACTTTGGAAACTATTCCTAGTTGTAAACTTTTCAAAGGAAAATAGTGGATGTACCACAATGTCATAGTCTTGTGCAGCTGTTATCTGCTCTGCTTGCTACTTTGGGCAGGAGGTGAAAAACCACACAGAAAAACATGCCAGTACAAAGAGCAGAGAAGATGAAAATTATACTTTCATAGATTCCCCTGAAAATGACAGCTTCAGTCGTTTTTTAACACCACATTTTGTTATGGCATCTATTCTTGTTGATTAGACATTACCATTCATTGTATCATATAGGGACTCATTAATTATAGAAATGATTTAGAATTACAATGCAGCCCTCGCTCTGCCCAGGATGTTGCTCTGTACCTCCTGGAGAAATACAAAATCAACCTTTCCTAATGAGAGCTTTGTAGTGCCCGCCTTAAGCAAGTCCCTGGACCAGTGCTGCATACAGACGCTAAATAAAGAGAGCAGGAGACTCAATGCGCCACATGCCTTAAGCCCAATACAATCCATTAAAATAGGAAATAGAACCCTCTGTAAAAAAGACTAAGAAAGTTATAGCAGTGAAAAAGATTTGTAGCGCTGCATTCATTAAAAATTGACTGACAGCTCGAAACTTTGCCGTATAGTTCTTGAATACTTCGTTTTAATTTCCGAGACTGTGTGCATGGGTAAATACATGGACTAAAGTGGGTGTAATGTATTCCCACCATGCTTTGCGTCGAATGCAAGGGTAAAAGAAAGGAGGACGGGCTGACCTACCCTGGCTGTGATATAAGATTACTTAAGAAGATTGATACAGGTGATTTTCACAAGAAGTTCATCATGTGAATTAGCAATAGCATTAAGGCCTGCAGGGTTAATAAAGGGGTTTAGTGTGGTTAAAAACGCTCCCAGAATAAGAATAAGGTCTATATGTGAGGCAAATACAAATGAGTATGTTTTATATGTTCTCTATTTCTACGGTTGTAATATTGTCTTGTTAACCCAATTATTTCTTATCTGAATTATTTACAATTTTGACAAAAGTCCCAAGATTGATATCAGAGAATGAGATGAATAAAAGCAATAACACAGCATATGTAAACATCCGGTTTTCATTGTGGATACAGGATGCAATACAAATATATTTGTTTAGTGTATCCAAAGGCAACTCAAAGTGCTTCACAAAACAAGAAAGGAAACGTTAAAATCTTAAAACAAGTAAAAGCATAATTAGATAATCACAGAACAAACAATAATACATTATAAAATATGTCAGTAGTATTAGAGCTAAACTGAATGGTTTTTAATCTGGATTTGAACATTGTTTGAGTAGAAGCTTATCTCCCATTTTCAAGAAGACTGTTCCAGATTGTAACAGTAGAAGTCAGACATGCTGACTCCCCATCTTTAGTCCAGACTCTGGGCATCAGCAGGAGACCGGTCCGTGCGCTCTTCAGTGTAGACCTGCTTCTAATAATCACCAATAGCTCAGTTGTTTCACTTTGGCAGAAATGATAAACAAGAGTACACATTGTGAGTGTGTTTGTCTCGCTACAGCTCAAACCAGTAACACAATTTGTCCATATTCCTCTCCACAAACATTTACTTATCAAAGTAAAGCGCTATCATGCAGCTGTTGTACCATTATGTATCCTGGGCGGCACGGTGGCTGAGTGGATTAGCACTTCTCAGCAAGAAGGGTTCAAACAGGGTCTTTCTAAGTGGAGTTTGCATGTTCTCCTCGTGCCTGCGTAGGTTTCCTCCGGGTGCTCCGGTTTCCCATACCACTAAAAATATGCACGCTAGGTCCTCCCAGCTCTGGTCCTAACCAAGCAGAGTATCAACATCTGGAGATGGATTCCCGGGCGCTGTACTACGGCGACCACTGCTCCTGAAGGAAGCCCAAGTGGCATCAGGATGGGTCAAATGCAGAGGATGAATATCCCTACGGGGGTAAATAAAGTGCACCTTTACCTTTTATGTGTGTCAGCAGATGGTTTTATTTCCTGCATTGGAACAAGACGTAGTTGTGAGTTTTAGAACAATCCAAAACAAAATGATGTCTCTTGCAAATGGGAAATATTCTGAAAATTGTGCCTGAAAGAACCTAAAACCAATCATTATTTGACAATATGTGAGATTATACTGTGTTTAATAAAACTTTGGGGCAAAAGTTAAGCAGCTTGCCTATACCAACTATAATCTAAAGTTGAAGATAAATGATCATTCACAAAAAATCTATACAACTCACTCAAATTTATTTTTGTACAGTCCTAAAAGTTGTCAATTTACCAACAGCAGATCAGAGAAATAAACACAGGAAATGTAATAATAACAAACACATATGAGCCATTGTCCTTAAATGTCCCGGATATCTCTGTCCTTAGACCCTTCAGTGAGATCATAGCGAGAAATCTCTAGGGGGCCCACAGTGGGAGAGGGATCCACTTCCACAGACTTTAAAACAGACCATAAAATCCATTGCATTTGACCCAACCTTCGCTATAGCATTGCAAACCCACCAATGCAGCCAGGTCTATTCATCATTCAGCTTCCATAGAACTGGTCCATAGTCAAACCAGTACATTAATGATGGGAAATTCTCACATGAGCAGAGACATGTTATATCAAACTGTCAATTTCTGACTCCAACTTGACATATGCCCTTTGAGTCACACTCCACACAGCATGCAACTTTAATGAGGCTAAATCTGACATGTTTCAATTATAGTGTGTGGGGGCATGAATTATGGACGACACTAACGTAAACTCACATCACTGTCATTCGGAGACCCGCGCTGATGAAAAGCTTGTAAATAATATACAACAGGTCATTGTTGAGAGCTGAAGAGCCGAACAGACGGATTGATTATTTCAGATTAGGAGCAGCTAATGCGCTATTATCCTGCAGCCTGTAAAGATACAACAAGTGGTTCTGACCGGACGCTGTTATTGGACGAGCCAACACAACAGCAAAGATGTTTTCCATTATATCGCATTAGCTTTACGTTTGGCAAACAGATGCTAACCGATATTTTTCCAAGGCTGATAGGGGGTTTTATTGTAAATAGAATTAGTCATAAAAGTGGTGCGATGAGGAGGATATGAAAACAACAGAAGGCTATCTATTATGCTGCAGGGTAAATAATTAAAAGTGTGAGTCTGGCCCAATTGGTTGCGGAGTAAATAAATGTTTAGTACATTGGAGTAGTGGGAGAAGAACTTTTCAGATTTTTTTTTTAAAAAAATTTACTTTGTTGTGGTCATTCTGTCATGGTTTAGGATTTCCTGTTTTGTTCTGTTACTTATTTATTTATTTATTGTTTATTTGGTTGGGACAGTACATGTTAATGAACACATTACTCCGGATTGTAGCGTTGGGCTAATTTGCATCCGTTGTGCCACATTCGCACTCACAAACACACACTCATTAACCCTGACCTATTGCACATGTTTTTAGTGGTAGGGGAAACCGGAGTACCCGAAGGAAACCTACGCAGACACGAGGAGAACATGCAAACACCACTCAGAAACGCCCTGTTCCGACCTGGATTCTAACCCAGAACCTTCTTGCTGAGAGGCGAGAGTGCTAACCACTCAGCCACCATGCCGCCCCTTCTCTCCCCAGTGTTCTACTTCCGGATTTTTTAATTACCGGCCCTGCCCTTACGAATGTGTCTCGTTAATCTTGTTTTTAAACCCTGTGTATTTATTTCAAACCTGGTTCCAAAACAAAGGAACCCAAAACACAGGACAGCAAAAATAATAGATTTAATAAAAGCAAATACAAAATAAAAATCCAGCGTAAGAATAGCCAAAGGGATCAAACAGAGGACAAAGACTGGACAAGATGTGATCGGGAGTGCAAATAAGGATGATGTATGAATGTGCGTTGAATGTGAGTAAAATGTTAGCTGTTAAATGTTAAATTTTAGCTATATTACAACATTTTTACTTATTAAAAACCATGATTGCGTTGTTTTTATCTCCATCTAAACTAATATCAGGAACCCATGGCCCAAATCCGCACACATCTTCTCACCCCTTATATTTAAATTCCCCCCAAACAAAACCCATAATTCCAAGTCTTGTCTCGTATGATATAAAACCAAACCATGAAAAAATGCATTTCACCCTGATTATATTTTGCGTATAACATTCGCTCTCAGAAGAATTTGGAGCGGATTCAAAAGTCAACATCCACTCCATGTGATGAGATTGACCTTAGTATCCTGCGAGCTACACTTTGAGAACTTCTCAAACTTCCGGCTAATGCGCTCTCTGTACTCGCAGCTGAACAAAACTCAAAAATCTAACTCGGACTGTGTCATCTCAGGACCATTTTCATAAAGTAAGAGCCATAAATCAGAGCATGAAGCCACCATATGGTCCAAGGCAGTGGGGATAGCATGAGTGCAGAGAAGGCCAGTCACAAATATAGAGACTTAATGGGACTCAGGTGCTGCTCAGTGTTTCATCAGATCCACACACCCCTCACCTCTCCACCCCCGTCCACCCTCTGTCCCTGACCGACAGCCGGCCAGACCACTTCACTCATGCACTCTTCTCCTACAGGCACATTAAATCAGGGAATAGTATCGTCACTTCATTTAGAAAGCAGCCGCAGCAGGCAAGTGCATATAAGTTTTTACAAGGCTAATAAAGGCTAAAATACACAACATTGTCATCATCTCAAAATAAGACAATGACGCCTGGATGAGAATGCATGTAAAAACTATTTATTTGTGTACACCCCGAAATCACAACAGTATAAAACAGTATATATATATATATATATATATGTGTGTGTGTATATGTACAGATGTATACATGCAGCTATATATTTCTTGCACAAGAATATACCGCATATTTTACTTCTATTTATGCTAAATAGAGAAAGAGACTTAATACCTACTTCTTTTTATGCTAAACTCAGAGATTTTGTACTTAATTCTTGCTTCTTCATTATCCTACAGCCAGAGGTTTTATCTTGCTTATTTTTTATTAAAACATTTGAGATTTGATTTGTGAGTTGTGTTCTCCTCATTCATACTGTTCTGTGACCGGTGATGCAACACTGAAATTTCCCCACTGCGAGACGAATAAAGGAACTCTCAATCATAATACAACAATGAGACAGCTAAGAGCCGTTGGTCCATAAGGCTGCAACAGATTATTATTTCTTCAATTAATCAATTAGTTGTTTAGAACACGGTTGTGGTTGTATAATGTAGATCTATATTTGACCCAGTAAAGGTTTAAGTGAAGCCATTATTTCCAGACGAAACTTGAATCATTAAATTGAGACTATATGCTTTTCTTTCTTGCTTTTTGTGTTATGTGTGCTCTGTTTGAGGCTTTAATAAACTACACCACAGTATAGATCCGTTGTATGTTTGTAAATGCCCCGGATCATTCCCTGTCCATAGACCATCATGAGTTCAAGAGTCTTTTCACGATCGTTGCCTGGTCACGGGGGCAGCAGGCTCTGGTCAGACTTCCCTGTCGGTCCCATGGGTCACCTGTGTGTCACCTACAAATTTCTCAATTATCTACACTTCACGTTTTCTTTTTGGTTCAGACTTGAATAGATCTTGCTCCTGACAGAGGCCCTAGTGGCATTACCGGATGGGTCAAAAGCAGAGAACGAATTTCCCCTACGATGACAATAAAAGTACAACTCAAACCATGATTTAGCCCTGTTAAATCTGAGGTGAGAGTCATTAAAGTCATTAAAAGCATGGCCGCAGTCAAACAGAAGAGAAATGTTATATCATTGTTCAGCTCTAAGGTGTCTGTAGGTGTTGCTCCAAGGTCTGGTGAAAAATGGGATAGAAAATGTCGCATACCAAACAAGATTCATGTTTTTCATTCCCTTCAATATTCCCTTAGGCCAGTCACATTTACTCTACCCCACTGTATTGAAATCCCTCATGACAATATTCCACAGAGAAAAACATAGCTCATTCACTTGCACGTAAGATGAAAGAAATCATCTGCAAATTAAGAAAAGTTTGGGCTTTGCATTTAATTGCCTGCAGTATGTTGTTTGTTTGCGAGCCTACGTATATTGTCAGGAAACAGCAGCTATGTAAGACACCTTCGCAAAGTCCTCCAAGATCCTTGAGATTTATGAATATTTAAAATCACAGCTTGAACAAGCAAAACTCTAATCTGGTAACAAGTATAATTCCTCCCTCTTGCATGACAATGAGGACATGTTTTTCCTCTGCATTCATCAGCCACCCGCTGCTTCTTCCCCTATGAGTGAATGTTAGATGCCTTGCCAAAAGTGTCTCGTCATCCCCTCCCGCTGCTATAGCCTGACAACTCCCCCCAACAGGTGAAGTTTGTGCCCCTTCCAGTGATGAGACAAGTCAACCATAATGACCCGTGTTGGAAGCCCCTTTAGACAGCTCGTGCCTGTAATCTGTCTCCCATGTTGCCAAACAAAAACAAATCTGAAATCAGTCCTGTAGCCGTGCGCAAACTCCAAATACAGTGCTGACATAGACCCACAGGGGAAACATGTTACAACCACACGTCAAGCTATACAGGCCTACAGCGCATTTAGAAAGATTAATGAGCACACAAACTCCCAAACTCTCCCCAGCCGTCACCAGCGCCCGCTAAGTAATCCACTGGGCTTTCTTTTTATTACCTGAGATGCTAAGTGGGTGAGCTTATACATCAAAGTCTTGCATTTGATCAACATTTTGTATAATTACGACTGGGACCTCACAGAGATGCAACAAAGTATAAAAGGGAATTGGCCAATTAGCTTTAAATTAGGTACTACCTACCACGTTTCTCCCTGAAGACTTAAGAATCCTAATCATGCTGTCGGTGAACTGTAAAAGGTACAATACATAATAGATTTTAGAAGCAGTGATGAAGGAATTGGTTCTTCTGTTTCAAGCGTGTGCGACTTTTCTGCAAGGTTTGTGCATTGAAGACAAGAAAGGGAAACAACCGGCCAAACCTACTTGTCATATCTGCAAAAAGGCAAGTCACTCACGGCAAGAATTCCGTGTTTTTGATAAATCACACAACAAAAAGTTCTCGATAAGGTGTGTAGTGGTACGCGCATACCCACTGGTGGTCAATCACGCTGCGGCAGAGCCTTGATTACGGGAACTAGTTTCACCTGTCGCGTCTCTCTCCTCACTTCTGGCGTCTGCATGCTGCGTGGCGATCTACTTGGCTTCGTGTGCTGGCGTGCGGGCCATCCTTATTTGTTTGGCATTGAGTACATTGCACTTGCGGGTTTTTGCGCTTACTCAGACCTGTTGTCGGATTTAGAGCGCCTCCTCGGTGAGTACTGGGACACTCCCATTCATAAATTGTTCCTTCAGAAAGCCTAACTCGGCTTCGTTTTTAGGCAGCTGTGCAGGGTTGTGGGCTGCATTAATTCCCTGCAGTTGGTACAAATATGGGGAATGTGAATATTTCCATCTTGGTAAGCCATTTCATCATTCGTATCAGTTGATCTGACATATGTATTATATATATATATATATGTGTATATATATATATTATGTATGTGTATACGATTTGTGTTTATTTATTTAGATATATATTTATACATATATTAATATGGGCTTTCATTCAGTGGTGTGCGCCCCGCCTGGGTTAACGGGCACCTTCACGCTACACTCTAAAACGGCAAGATCTTGGTATGTATGGTTCTACAGTTCATAGCCTAGGTGTATATCTCTCTATCAGTCTCTCTCTCTCTGCTCTCGCTCTTGCGCGCTTTGCTCTCGCTCCCTCTCTCACTCTCTGGTTCTCTCTGCTCTGGCGCTCGTTTTCTGCTCTCTCTCTCTCTCTCTCTCGCTCTCTCGCTCTCTCGCTCTGCGCTCTGCGCTCTTTGCGCTCGCTCCCTCTTATTTAGCTTTAATAAACTTAATTCTCAGTGTAGATCCGACGAGCCTCCCCTTCTCCCGTGAGCGGCCCCTTTCAGAGCTTCTCCTTCGGGGCCTCCACTTATGTGACCATCCCTGGGCAACACTCACCCTGCGTTGTGGGCTGTCTACCTGGCCCTTGGACCTACGGCTAACCAGACCACTGATTTTAGCACTCGGACTGGCGCTCTCCCAGGCAGACTGGTAACGTTGGTCCCCACCACTAGGGAGTTTAGTCTATAGGTGGAGATGTACTAACTGCTGCTGCTGTTTCCCCCTGAGGTCACTGTTATTTTGTTTTGTTAAGGTTTATAAAGTATTTTAAGATCTGTGAAAGTGAACATGTGTCCATGACTAATTTAAGAAAATTGTGAAAATAAATATATATTTTTTATAATCCTCTCGTACTCTCTCTCGTACTCTTCAGTCCAACGAACCTTTGTTGCCCTTACTGCGGGGGGGGTTTATTTTGTGTTACTGCTCGTAACAAGTGGCTATTATTGGTCCTGGGGCCATCTCCCCAGGTGGCGTTGCTGTACATTGGGCTATTATCCAAAAGATTAATTATATTGTTGTACCCTAACCACTACACCACCACAGGTGCAATTCGAGAGGAAGAATTTCAAAAACAAAATCTTTGCACACTCAAAAAAATACATGTCCAAAATGTATATATTTACTATTTTGGCCATCATAATCTTCAGATGATTCTTTTCCCTTTTTTCATACGGACCACAATATACCAAGTCTAATATCATATCTTCAAATCCAAGACATACACAAGTTGCAGCATCAGGTGAAACTCAAAGTGTATGTATTTCATTAGTTCAAAAAGTGAAATCTATAGGCCAAGCCTTTGTCTGTTATTATTTTGATTATTAAATAATGAAATGTTTTGGTTTGGAATATGTGCAGTGAGTCATTTGTCCAGCGTTAAGGAGTTAAACAGAGTAAGATGTCACACAATTAGCCCAGGCACCATCTGTCTTCAGCCCTGTTCCCAGTGGTACGGGCCTTCATTTTTCTCACCACCACTGAGCAGATCAGCTCTCCATCCCTAGTAGATCTCCACTCCCCAGCTGTCCTGTGACAACTTAATTAAATGGAAAGGCAAACAAAAAGCCAATTAAAACTCTGAGAGCGTGTTTTAAGGGCTATTCGCCATCCACTTCACTTAATGATGGACGCGATTGTTTTATTTATTTGTGTGTGTTTTTTATTCGAGGGGCCATTTCTGCAGGTTTCTGTCATGTCGTTTCAGTAATATAGACCATGCACATGTTGAATATTCATTAATTGATTGTCAAGGCATGCAGAAACACTTACTAACCCTAAACCATACCTCTGACTGTCTCAAAATAAGTCTTTTTAGGGTAACCCATAGAGGCCTCATATGTCGTAGTTTTATGTGCTGTCCGCACGTGGGTGAATGTACACCCACGTGCGGATTACAAAGTAGCCCTACAGGATCTGAGCGAGATCCTTCACAAACATGAGTCTGCTCATCCTAACGCAGTCATCATTGTTGCTGGGGATTTCAATAAATGTAATTTAAAGACTGTACTCCCAAACTTTTACCAACATGTGACTCAAGCTACAAGAGGAGCACATGTTCTGGATCACTGCTACAGTAACGTGACGGGAGCTTACAGGTCCAGTCTCAGA